CTGGCCTGGCTTCATGTTCCACGTCAGGAAAACTTGGCCGAGAACAAGATGGTTACCACCGGCTGAAAATAGGAGTTTGTGTCTCTGGTAACAACAGGTGACAGGTGCTTCATAAAATCCCCACCCCCGCCCCCGCCGTCAACACATCATCAGAGCCCCGGGGCTCCCACTCCCTCTGTCCAGCCCGCTCAGGGCACAGGTCAGCCGAAGGGCTCCTCCACAGTTCCCCACTTCCATCCCGCTGAGCGGGTGAGAGCGGGGGAAAGGACCGTGTCCCTTCTGGACTTGGTGCTCCTGATACTTCTCTCTGCCTCCGTTTTACCCGCTGACGCTGGGGCGACTGGAAGCCACAGATGGTGGCCCCAGAGGTAGGGGTGCTCTGGGTTCCTGACCCACGCGATCGCCGTGTCATGTGAACAAACGCGCATTTTGGGCTGGGTCCTTACCGCACCACCGCCCAGCCCGTCCCACTGGCCCTCCGTGCTGGCTTTTTCTTTTTCTTTCTTTTTTTTTTTTTTTAAAGTCAAAACTAATGACTTCATGGACTGATTCTAGCCCTATTTGTTGAAAGGACTCCCCCATCGGCTTGCTCTGGGGACCTTAGTGGTCCCCTGTGGCGGTGGGCGTGTGTACCTGCGTCCGGGCTGTCCTCCGGGCCCTCGGGCTCTGTGTGTGGGCCTGCGCGGCACCTGCTGTCTCGGACTGCAGCCCCACAGCAGGTCTTGAAGTTTTTAACTTGGTTCTTTTCCAAGGTTGCATTTGGGATCCCACTAACGTGCTTAGTGTTTCCATACCAAGTTTCGATTCGGCTGATCAACTTTTTTGTAATGTATTTGTCAGAGTTTGGTACCAGAATTATACTGGCCTCACAAAATGAGGAAAAATGTCCTCTTCTAGCCTAATTTCTGGAAGGTTTTGGGTAATGTTGCTACTCTTCCCTTGAATGTTTGATAGAATTTGGCAGTGAAAGCACCTGAAACTGGGTATTTCTTTGTGGGAACTTTTTTGGTTAATACATTGAAATTGTGCAATAAATATGGGCCACTCCCGTTCTGAATCTCATCCTGGCTCCCTTCCTAAACGACGTCTTTATGGAGACATCACTTGTATCAAAACGTGCCGGGTGTTGAAGTGTACAGTTCGGTGTTTTTATTATGTTCAGAGAGTTGTGTAACCACGACTACTATCTAATCCCGAATAGGGCTAATCCTATTACTCACGGTGGGGCGCATCGCCACAAACACGGAGTTAGCTAGCACCGAGCCCTTGCTGTAGAGGGAACCGTGTGGCCTCCCTGCACGCACACGGTTCGCGGAGATAATAACCCCAGCAATAGAAACACAGTTCCTTCCGGTAGATTCTGTTTGACAAAAGAGAAAACAAGGCTCAGAAGTGTCATGTGAACTGGCTGGGAGTGGGGACTCGGCCCTGTGCCTCTGGCCCCAGAGCAGGAGCCCTCTGCCCTCCATGCACACCCATCCCCACCCGCCCACATACTCGGGCCTCGGAGGCAGGAGGCAGGGCCTCGCCTAGTTTGACCTCGACCTCGGCTGGGGATGCTCAGGTCTTCCACTGTCAGATGAAGACAGGAAGGACTGATCTTGAGATTACAAACAAAATGTGATCAAGCAGGCCAGTCTGCAAACGCACAGCCTTCCAGTGGGGATCAAGGGGTTTTTGTGGCCCCAAGAAAGCCCACACCCATCAGCAGCTGTCTCCGTTCACCGGCCCCCAGCCCCCAGCAGCTGGCCTGCTCTGTGGGCCACCGTCCCTCCAGGGCTGGCCTGGGGCCTGGCCTGCAGTGACACGGGGTGTCCTGATATTTATTAAATACTCGTTAAAAAAAAAAAAGTTAGATGGAGGTCCAGGGACGCACGATTGAATTTTTAAACTCAATTTACAAAATTTTAACTTTTTCTGATGCTTCGTCTATTGCACGTCCATTATATGACATATTTTGTTATGCGTAAAATGCCATAAAGGAGAAAGAGAAAAATTCATTTTACTGGTTTTTGCATTTTTCAGAGACAACTAAACATTTTGGCGTTTCTTTCCAGGCTTTTTGTCCTCCCTGAAAAACAAAGGCGCCAGCTGGTCTGGCAGACCACGCCGCTCGCCGCTTGGGAAGCCGGCCAGTCCCCCCTCCCCTTGGAGGCTGCTGGGGGTCCGGGGACGACTCTTCCTTCTGACCCAGCGAGGGGGTCTAGGTCTCTGAAGGGGCCCAGCCTAGTGCTCCAGCCAGCAGGTGGGCCGATTGGGCCAATCCAAAGCTGTGCTGCGTCTATGCTCTGTGCGCACAGGACACAGGGGAGGCAGAGGGCCTGAGCGGCCTGGGTCTGGGAGGTTTGGCTAGTGCCCCGGTCTTGGGGGACTGCATGCTCTATGTCTGGGGGTGTGAGGGGGCATCCCGAGCAGGGACAATGCCTGGTGACCTGCCGCAAGCCCCCTCCCGAGTGACGGGGGTCCCATGCGAACTTGCTGCTTCGGGGGCTAAGGGCACCCCTTTCCCAGGACCCCAACTGGCATCTCCCACCCCCTGGACTTCTGGAGCCCACATCTACCCGTCTTCAGGCTCCGTTCCCAGTCTGAGGCTCGGGCCGCCTCCTGGTGCCCGTCTCACCCTCCACCCTGACGGGCCCCCGCAGCCCCAAGCTCGCCCGGTCTGCCTGTCTGCCACGGTGTGCGGCTGGGGTCGCGGGATCCTCTCCCCAGGAGCCCCGAGCAGTGCAACCGTGCGCCTGGGGACAGACATTTGAAGCAAAGTGGGAAACTGCTTGTTGGAAAATTTCATAACCCAAGTCCAGCAACACAAATGGGCTGTGCTGGGGCCACTAACGAGAAAAGCCTCAAGGCCCGAGTGAGTGGATGTGAACTCAGACCCCAGCCAGAGCGGGAGAAACGGCTCAGGCTTGGCTCACGAGCCCACGGCAAATCCAAGGCTGGAGGACGGTTTGGAGAGCAGAATGACCAGCTCAGACTTGATGGCGTCTGAATGGTAAGCGGTGTAGACAGAGCAGAGGTAGAGGGGGCGCGATTCTCCACGGCCGAGACGTCCCCCACGGGCACAGCGTGGCCCAGGCTGAGGCGAGGGCGTAACGGAGGCTGAGGAAGGGGCAGAAGGATCCCCCCCCGCCGCGGACGGAGCATCACGCACACCCACATGCTGCGGCCCGCGGACCGCACCGCGAGGCGCTGACCCGGCGCTGAGATCCGGTGCCCGTTTCCGTCACGGATCCCTCCCCGGTTGCCGTGACAGTGGTGCAGCACCAAGAACGCGAGGTTTCAGACTTGCTGAAATTCGCCACTCACTGCGTTTGCCTGGACCGCAGTGCTCCTCTTCCAGCCCCGTCGGTGCTCAGTCTGGGGCTCCTCCCGGGACTGTCGGCAGCCCTGGGGCCTGGAACCCGTGACGCTCCACTCCCAGTGACCTCCGGACATGTCTTCCTCGGGCCGAGCGCCATCGAACCATACACGGACACCAGGCCACACGGACACCAGTCCACGCGGACTCCAAGCTGCTGTCTGGGTGCTCCCTGCCTGCCCTATGCACAGGCATCGGCACCTACGGCCCTGCACACACACGCGCACACGAGTGCACGCTCACGTACAGCCCTGCACACACGCACACTCACGCACGCTCACGCACATTCACGCATGGCCCTGCACACACGCACACTCACGCACGCTCAAGTATGGCCTTGCACACACGCACACTCAGGCACGCTCACGTATGGCCTTGCACACACGCACACTCACGCACGCTCACGTATGGCCCTGCATACACGCACATTCACGCATGGCCCTGCACACACGCACGAGTGCATGCTCAAGTACAGCTCTGCACACACGCTCGAATGCACGCTCATGTGCGGCCTTGCACACATGCACATCCACACACTCACGTATGGCCTTGCACACACGCACGCTCACGTACAGCCTCGCACCCCTCCACGCACACACTAGTTGTCCCGCAGTGTGCTGAGAAAGCAGGCGAGACGGAAGACTAGCCTCCAGGGCCAGGTTTGCAGTGGGTCCATCGTTCCCTGCAGGAACCACCACCCAGCCCCCGCTTGGGAACCCACGGAAGAACCCCACGGGCAGTTAAGGCTTGGCAAGCAGGGCTTTGAGGGGCGCAGAGTTGCCTGGAGAGACCCTTCCTGGGGCAGCAGCTGGAGGCCTGTCAGCTCAGCTGCCAGGTGCCGTGCTGGTCCATTAAGCCAACGAGCCAGAGAGTAACAATCAAGCCTTTATTCACTTCCGGCAACTGCGCAGCCAGGACCCAGGACAGAAGTGCCGAGTTCCCTCATTCCCCTCTCTCTTCCGCAGAAAGGCACAGTTAAGGCGGGTGGGGGCTGCCGGGGTGGGGGCACCGCCCTGCAGGGGGAGCCCGGAACAGAAGGGCCCTGCTGCTTTTTGGACTTGGGGCAGGAGGCGAGGTCAGGGAGGAAAAGCACTGAGTGGTGGGTCGGAGTGGAGAGATGATACAAAGACCTTGGCTGAAGGGACGCGGTGAGGCGGCCCCTGGGTGGTGATGCCCGGGGCAGGAGTAAGCTGGGTTCCGAGCCCGCTGGCCGGAGGCCTTACTGCAGCACCTTCAGAGACCAGCCAGGTGGGGGGAGGGCGGCTCCCCGCTCCAGGCCTGCCGGTGCAGCCTCCTTGCCCACTGATGGCCTGCCGACGGAGCCCACGCACGACCCTGGCCTGGAGCCCACTCAGGGAACCTAGTCTGCCCGGAACCCCCTCTCCAGCAGGGTGAGGAGGGCAGGATGGGGCCCTGGGAGCAAAAGCCAGCCTTCTCCCAGGCCCCTAGGTCCCAGGGTAGACACCTTTCCTGCGGGAGCACACCTTGGGGGCTGCGCTGGAAGGAGGACCCACATTTCCCCCTCCCGCCTTCTGCGGCAGCTGGCACATGCACAGCCTGGACCCCTGGGCGGGGGCAGGCCGCTCACCCAGAGAGCTTGGTCATCTGGCCTGCCAGGGGCCCTGGGGGAGCACTCTGGGGGAGGCCTGCAGCACCCCCATCTCCCTGGACATGGCTGTGGCCAGCTAAGAGAGCCAAGGGCGGAAAAGGTCAGCAACGGTCCTGCTCCCTGGGTTGGGAGTCCAGGGTCACCGAGCAACGAGGTCACTTTGCTTGTGCATAGGACACCAATCCGTGTCTGGGTAGAGAAGGCAGTGGACAGACTTGAACCTGGGAAGGAAATACGGAGGTCAGGCCTACCGGGATGTAGGTGTTGTTGGGGGAAGCGCCAGAGGCCCTCCTCACCGCCCACTTACCGTGTGGGGTCCTGCTGCAGGCTGAAGCCTCCCACGTTCACCACATTATGTGGGTTCTCTGGACCCCCGTAGCTCAAGGTGACCTGAGGTGGGGGGGAGACAAGTCACTCCCAGGATCAGCTCTTCCCCCACACCCTCCTCTGGCCTCCAGAGTCAAACCAGGAGAGGCTGCTGTGCCTCTGGCTCCCCGGGGCCCTCCAGGGCAGGACTGCCCCCCATCCTGGTGCACCCAGGGCATGACCTCCCCCCCACCTTCCAGGGTAGGTGGAGGGCCCACCCAGGCCAAGTCCAGGCCCACCCCCCACTCTCCCCACCCAGGGCAGGAATGTCTCCCTCCATCTGGGGCATCCAGGCAGGCCCCTCACAAAGGAGCCCCTGTACCCAGGCCCCTGGATCCCAGCTGCGGGGCTGGGAATGCTTCCCTGAGCCCTGGTGATCGGCCTGAGATCCGGGGGAAGGGCCAGGCACCTCGGGGGGCAGGCTGGGGGCGAGGCCCGGGAGCTGGGCTGTACCTGCCGCAGCACGGCGTCAGGCGGCAGCCTCCGCAGGTCCTCCAGGTGGGAGTGGAAGAGCGAGCTCGGCAACAGGCGCGCGCCCAGCAGCCCCTCCACGATGTAGCCCACGGTGCAGTCATCCGGCAGCCGCGCCCGCTCGGCCGTGCTGATGAAGCTGCCCAGGCTGGTTGGGGGCCGGGGCCAGTGGGTCAGGGCCTCCTCCATCCTCAGCGCCACCATGCCCGCCTCCCAGCCCCGGCAGCCGGCCCCCAACACACCGCCCCCTCACCTGGCCCAGGGGCTCATCTTCAGAGCGAGGCCTCTGCTCAGGCAGAAGCCAGCTCCGCCCGTCGCAAACCAGAACTTGACGGTGGTCACCTGAGAAGGAAAGAGACGTGGGGCAGGGCGGCGTCCTCAGCTGCTCCCCGCACAAAGGGCAGGGGGACCCCCGGGCACAAGGGAGGGGCTTCCTGGGGGCCCAGCTCCGCCCACAGCACCTCCTGAAGGGCCCCCACCCCAGCATGGACCAGACTCTCCACCCTGCCGCCCTTCCCCAGCGGGGTCTCCGTGCTCTCAACCGTGCTCCCGGCCCAGCACTCACGGTGCCCCCTCCCTGGACCCTCTCGGCGGCCTCGATGGGGTGGTCCAGGCTGGGCCGGCCCAGGTAGACGTCCTGGCTGGGCGAGAAGGTGGAGAGCAGCCGCAGCAGGCCTCTGGGGTTCACGTAGTTGTCGTCGTCCACGTGGCAAAACCACCTGGGGGCGGCCAGAGGCGCTCTGGAGCCAGGGGCTGGTGCCGCTGGGGGCCTCCCCCTGCTGGCTCCCGAGCATGTGTGGGCCCAGGCTTAGCCCTGGGCTCTCCCGGGGGCACTGGAGCAAGGCCACCACATACTTGCGTCCGGACTCGATGAACTTGTCATACTCCACGGCCATCTTGCAGCACAGGGCCTGGCGGGTATGCACGGCCGAGCAGTTGGTGTTGATGATGTGGCTGCCTGCCCGGCGCGGGAAACGGGGGAGGCATGAGGGCCAGCCCGCCCCATGGTGATCAGGGCAAAACGGGGCTGTCCAGCGGGCATGGCCACCTCGCCCTGCTTGAAGCCCCCAGGCCGGGTCCAACCGCGCAGCCCTCGCCGGCTGCTGACCCACGGGGCCCAGACCGGTGACAACCATCTGCACCACTGTGAGCGCAAAGCCGGCCCAGGTTGACGACGTGCCCGGAGTGGAGCTGCCAGGAAAGAGTGGCCCTCTGCTGGAGCGTCTTCAGGGGCCGTTTGGGGACTGTGGCTCCGGCCCGAGGCCCTGGGAGGCCTGCCAGGGCTGCGGGAGGCAGAGCCTGGCCCGTGTGTGTAGGGGGCCTGGATGCTGGCACCAGCTGTGTGACCCTGGGCAAGCGACGGCCCCCACCCTGCCCCGGACCTCTCTACACAGCAGGGAGACGGGTGTCACCACACCAAAGGATCCATGAGGGGGCCCCGGTGCATGCAGGCTGGGGAGTGCACCTACCTGCCCGGAGTCGCAGTTCAGGGTCATCCCCGTCCGTGAAGATGAACGTCTGGGGAGAGACAACCTGTGAAGCCCCAGGGGGACCGGGATGGAGCTGCAGAGACGCCCCTGGGTGAGCCTGCGCTTCAGAGATGGAACTTGGAGACGAGAAGAGGGTGCCCAGGATGGGGCCGGACGCTTGGGGTTGGGACAGGGGAGTGGGGGTCCCCAGCGATGGCCTGCTGCTGTCCCCAGTGTCTCCTGCTGCGGTTGGGGCCAGGCCTGCTCTCACCGGACATCTGTGGGGTCTTGGTCCAGCGTCAGCTGAGAGAACCCACCCAGTTGGGAGGGCGGCCGTCCTTGGGTCCCCACAGACTCATGAGGGTCTGGCCATCACTCTGGGGACACAGCAGTGGGCAGGGGGTCCCGGGGATGGGGTCTCCGGGGCAGCCCTTGCGGGGACAGGGGTGTAAGGGGCGCGGACGGTTGCGGTCCGGCATCGGGGGAAGGGGTGCCGGGGTCCGGGGTCCGGGGGCAGGGGTGCCGCGATCGGGGATCCCGGGGCAAGGCCCACCTGCTGGCGAGCCCGGGAGATCCAGGTGCTCAGCAACAGCCCCAGGCGTGGCCCGTGGTTCTTCTGGGTGGTCTTGACAGCGATGAAGACGTCGTCCGGCCGCAGGCGGGGGACGGAGGCGGGTCGGGCGGGGGATGCCCGCCGGCCGGGGCTCAGACTGGGAGCCCTGGCAGGGGCGGGGGCCGGCGCCGGTACGCGGGGCAGTGGCAAGGGCAGCAGCAGTAGCGCGGCCAGGGCCGCGGCCAGCGCGAGGCAGGCCCGGCACAGCGCCCCCCGCCCGCGGCTCATGCGGCCGCGGGACCCGCGGGCACCGCCCGGGCCCAGGCCGCGCAGCGGCCCCTTTAAGAGCCGCTCCGCCCGCCGCGACCCGGATGCTCTGCCCCGGAAGTGGACGGTGCTGCCCCGGAAGTGGACGGCGCGCCGCGGCGGGGTCGGTGAAGATGCCGTTGCCGGTTCAGGTGTTTAACCTGCAGGTAACGAGCCGCGGCCGGCGACCCCTCCCCGCCCTCCCGCACCCCTGCTCCCGCCCCCCACCCCCGTCGCCGCCGGGCCGGGGCCGGGCCCCCGCGCGGCCTCCCCTTCCCGCCGCCCGGCGGCCTCGCGCAGGGAACCCGCCGTGGGCCCGGCAGCCCGGCCCGGCGCTAACGCTGTCTTTCCCTTCGGCCGCAGGCCAGCTGTGTGTCAGGGTCGGGGGGTGCAGAGAGTCAGGACAGGATGAGGGCTAGCCCGGCCCCCAGCTCGGCCTCCTCGTCAGTGACCGATCTGTACCGCGCCCCTCACAGCAGTAGGTCAGATCTCTTCCTGCCGGGCACGGCCGGGGACTTCAGCCTGAGCGCCAGCCTGTCGGCCTGTACGCTGCTTCACGAGGTACCTTCCAGGACAGGGGGCCCAGGAGCGAGCGAGCGCGGGAGGGGGGCGCGCCCCCGCCCGCCGGCCGGGCCAGCCGGCGCAGGACGCGCGCCCCAGGACACTGTTCCGCCGCCGCCTGGGCCCGCCGCCCCCGCTGCCGGGCGCTGCTTGAGGCTCGGAGAAGCTGCGTCAGGACGGTGGCTGCGGCCGTGAAGGGACCGCAGGGCCCCCTCGCCCCGCTGCCAGCCCGCGGCCCCGGAGACCCGCGGTGGAGAGGGCGCCAGGGCTCTCTGCTCAGCGGCCGCAGGGTTTGCGAGGGACGGCGTGGGACACGGGCTGGGGAAGGGTCAGGGACGGCCAGCGCCTCCGGACTGGGTCCCGGACAGGATCCCCTGGACAGGATCCCGCAGACAGGATCCTCCCGGGGACGTGGCGCCTCGGGCAGAGCCCGACTCAGGGCACAGTGAGGGTTTCTCGCCCTTCCTGGTCAGTCCGGTTCGAGTGCCAAGTGCCCGCCTGTGTTGCAGGGGGCCGTGGAGCCCATGCAGATCGATGTGGACCCCCAGGAGGACCCGCAGAATGCGTCCGATGTCAACTACGTGGTGGAGAACCCCACCCTGGTAAGGAGCCCTGCCGGCGGTCCTAGGGCAGGCAGCAGGGGCGTGCGGGGTCAGTCCTGGGGCGGGGGTAGGCTGGGCTCCCCCCCCAAGCCGTTTTTCTCTGACCCAGAAACCTCTAGGCTGTTCGGTTGCCACTGGTCATGGGGGCGGTAGCCCAGCCGGAGACCGTGTGCCCCACTTCTCTTCATGGGGCAAGAGCCCACGCGCAGCTCTCCTCAGACCCAGGACAGGTCTTTCTTGGTGCCCGGGTCAGGAGCGCGGCCTCCTGACTGCTCTGCCTGGGGACTGGCAGTCACGAGTCATGCCCGTCTGGCTCTGGCCGTACACCCCTCAGCGCCCCGGGCAGAGCTCTACCCTGGAGGCCCCCGCCCTGGCTCACGCCAGGTGGCCTTCGCCAGCGCCGGAGAGCCGTGTGGCTGGCGCCCAAGCACCTCATTCTTGCCATGGGCGTAGGGCTTCTCGGATACCGCAGGAGGGTCAGCGTCTGGGTCCTGCTCCTGGCTCACCCGCCAGGGCTTGGGGTCTGAGGTCCCGCCTTGCACAGCCTCCGTCCACCCCCGCCTCCCCGACTTCAGGATCTGGAGCAGTACGCGGCCAGCTACAGCGGGCTGATGCGCATCGAGCGGCTGCAGTTCATTGCCGACCACTGCCCCCCGCTGCGGGCGGAAGCCCTGAAGATGGCCCTGTCCTTTGTGCAGAGGACCTTCAATGTTGACATGTATGAAGAGATTCACCGCAAGCTCTCGGAGGCCACCAGGTGACACCAGGGGCTTGGCCAGAGGAGGCAGGGCCCTTGGTGGGAGCAGACTCCAGGGACTGGGCGTGGTGTATCCCCCTTGGGTCTAGCCTGGGCAGGGGCCCTTCCTGTGCTCCTGACACCTGACACCATCCCCGTGTGGGCACTTAATAGCGTCCCTGCCTCGATGTGTGGACATGGCCTTTTTTGTTAAAAAGCCAGGAGGGACGATAAATGGCAAAACAGGCCAGGTTCTCAGTCGCCCTGTCGTGGGGCTCTCTGCGTCGTCCTGGCCTTTCTCTGCGCGCGCAGGGCGCGTAGACGTCCTGGCGGGAAGCGGGGCTTCTGGAGACGGCACCTTGCTCTCCTCTGCGCCTGGCCGCACGCACGCGCCTTCTCCTGGTGGGTGTGCGCTCCAGGCTGTGGGCCCGTGTTCCTGTGCTGCCCGGGCGCTCCCTCGGCAGGGGCTGGGCAGGGGCCCCCGGGGGGGCACCCCCCTGCCTGCACCTCGGCCCCTGACTGCCGGAGCACTCCCTCAGGGAGCTGCAGAACGCGCCGGACACCATCCCCGAGAGTGGCGTGGAGCCGCCGCCCCTTGACACGGCCTGGGTGGAGGCCACTCGGAAGAAGGCTCTGCTGAAGCTGGAGAAGCTGGACACGGACCTCAAGAACTACAAGGGCAACTCCATCAAGGAGAGCATCAGGTGCTGTTCTTGGGAGGCTGGGAGGCTAGCGCCGGCAAGGCCCGCGTGGCCCTGGGCCAGGTCCGCTCACGTCTGGCCCCACAGGCGTGGCCACGACGACCTAGGTGACCACTATCTGGACTGTGGGGACCTGAGCAACGCCCTCAAGTGTTACTCCCGGGCCCGGGATTACTGCACCAGCGCCAAGCACGTTATCAACATGTGCCTCAACGTCATCAAGGTGGGCCCTGATTCGGCGGGGTGGGCGGCCAGAGGGGCTGCGGGGCAGCGCTGACCCTGAGCCAGGAGGAGGCACCCCAGCTGAGTCCACCCCACCTGCCTGCCAGGTCAGCGTCTACCTGCAGAACTGGTCTCACGTGCTGAGCTACGTGAGCAAGGCCGAGTCCACCCCGGAGATCGCCGAGGTAACAGCGGTGTCCCCACTCTGTCCTGGTCCCCGGACCGCTGCGCCCTGGTGGGCGGGGCCCTCCCCAAACTGCCCTTGCCCCTCAGGCTGGGGCAGGGCCCAGGAAAGGACCAGGTTGTGGAGGCTGGTGGCTGACGTGTCCCACTTTGCCCTGCAGCAGCGTGGGGAGCGGGACAGCCAGACCCAGGCCATCCTCACCAAGCTCAAGTGTGCCGCCGGTGAGCGCTTCGGGGCGGAGGATGCCACAGCTGAGCCTGGCCGGGGATGGCGTGTGCTGGTCCCACGTCGGTTCTCACTGCCAGGGTGGGGGGCCTCGTCACAGCTGAGGAAACGTCCGAGCCGCCCTAGGGGTGCCCGCCAGGCCACGGTCCTGGGTGGGGAGGCCAGTGCACAGCCGGTGGTCAGGGATGGAGGCGTGGCTAGCGGGTGGGCCTGGGAGTCCTTCGTAGGAGTCACCGCCGCTGTGCACGGCTTCCCCAGGCCCTCGACTCCAGGGTGCTCCAGGCCGGGCTCGCGGGCATGGCCACGTTTGACCAAAGTCCCTGTCCTTGACCCCGGGAAGTGGCTGGGGTGGGGAAGGCAAGGGCGCCAGGCTTCATTGTGGGCCGCCCCTCCCCCCCCACCCCGGGCAGGCCTGGCCGAGCTGGCCGCGCGCAAGTACAAGCAGGCGGCCAAGTGCTTCCTGTTGGCCTCCTTCGATCACTGCGACTTCCCCGAGGTGAGGGACCGGAGGGCATGTGGGGACGCGCCCTTGCTGGGACTCGGGAAGCAGGGGGAGGGCTCATGGGTTATGGTCTTTATTGAGGGGACGCCCCGTGGAGTCCTGCATGTTGTTCGGGTGGGTGGTGGCTGGGGCAGGGGTGACCCAGCCTCGTGTCTGTGTTTCCTCCTTGGATTCTGTCTTGACTGTCCGTGACCCCGGGTGTCTGGTCCCAACTCTTCTTGCCCGTAGCTGCTTTCTCCCAGCAACGTGGCCGTCTACGGTGGCCTGTGTGCCTTGGCCACTTTTGACCGGCAGGAACTGCAGCGCAACGTCATCTCCAGCAGGTGGGTGGGGGCTGGGGTGCCGGCCCTGCGCCCCCCTGGCCTGCTCCCTTCCGGAAGTGTGAGGACTAGCGCCCGGCGGGCCTGTGGGGGGGCTCCGGCCCTCGGCCGTCAGCGCAGGTGCCCGTCAGGCTCTGAGGGTCGTGCGTCTGCAGCTCCTTCAAGCTCTTCCTGGAGCTGGAGCCACAGGTTCGCGACATCATCTTCAAATTCTACGAGTCCAAGTACGCCTCGTGCCTGAAAATGCTGGATGAGATGAAGGTGAGGGACCGGCCAGCTTTGGGGCGGGGGGCGGGGGGCGGGCGGGCCGGGGGCAGCGGTGCCTGAGCAGGTCTCCTCGCCAGGACAACCTGCTCTTGGACATGTACCTGGCCCCCCACGTCAGGACGCTGTACACCCAGATCCGCAACCGCGCCCTCATCCAGGTAGACGCGGGGGCGCGGAGGCCGGGGCGGGGCGCTGCGGGCGGGCCTGGGAGTCCCCGGCGGCTGACTCGGCCTCGGCCCGCAGTACTTCAGCCCCTACGTGTCGGCGGACATGCACAAGATGGCCGCGGCCTTCAACACCACCGTGGCGGCGCTGGAGGACGAGCTGACGCAGCTCATCCTCGAGGGGCTCATCAACGCCCGCATCGACTCCCACAGCAAGGTGGCCGGCCCCGGGCCGAGGCCGCGGGTGCAGGGCGGGCCCCGGGCCGTGGGGAGCGCCGCTGAGCCCCATCCCTCCGCCGCAGATCCTGTACGCCCGGGACGTGGACCAGCGCAGCACGACCTTCGAGAAGTCCCTGCTGATGGGGAAGGAGTTCCAGAGGCGCGCCAAAGCCATGATCCTGCGGGCGGCCGTGCTGCGCAACCAGATCCACGTCAAGGTGCGGGCAGGGGCGGCCCCCGCGGGGACGAGGGGCAGGGTGGGTGCACACGCGTCCCCTGGGCTGAGCAGCCCCGTCTCTACTCCAGTCCCCTCCCCGAGAAGGGAGCCAGGGGGAGCTGACGCCG